GGAGTTTTGTTCCGCTTACTCATGAACAATGACTCGTTATTCCTTCTAACTCCTTGATTCATAATCCTGACCCACCTAAGTGGGTCGGTCTTACTCATCCTTGTGCCCTGCATGTGATTCTCTTGCACTATTCTTGGACCATGGATTTGTGTATATAAGACCCCTGTAGCTCGCCCTAAGTCCCCATCTCGACCTCTTGTGTCTTGGGGACTTAGGTGAGTAACCGTCTCTGTACTAGATACTATGCTAACTTGTGTCTTGGGGACTTAGTGTGTGACCTTGAGTCCATTAGGTGCCTATTGCGTCGCTGTCGACCTCGTGTCCAGTGACCTTGAGTCGAGCTCAGCTCCTCCTTTTCTGCGTGTACTCTTGCCTAAAGTAAGTGCCGACGACGCTGCCTTTCCAACCGACTCTACCCGATTACTTGGACATTCCGGCTGTCTAAGTAGTTGGTAACCCCAACGGGCGTTCCCCTGCACGTCGCTCGTCACAGGAATGGTATCTTCGGTGAGGGCATCTTGAGTCTGAGCGTCGAGTTCGGTGGGGGAGAGACTGGTGAGGTGTGAGATGTCGATGGTGACGTGGGCGCGTGGGCTGAAGGGATAGAGGCGGGCGGCGGCATACCGCAGGCGTGAGAGGGATCCGTCGAGCTCGGCGAGCACATAGGCGCCGCCGGAGTTGCGTCGCACGACGACCAGTGGGCCAAAATAGCGGGGGTTGGTCTTGCCGGATAAGTTCTTCTCATTCTCGGAGTTGCGGACGAGGACGAGGGCACCAGGCTGAAAATCGAAGTCTTGAATCTTGGCTGCATCGCGCTGGACCGCGCGGGTGGTGGAGTCGATGCGAGCTTTGAACACGCGTTCGCGCAGCCGTTCGAGATCATCTTCGCGCTTTTGGAGCGCACGGGCACGGGCGGCGATGAGGTCGGTGGTGGAAGCGGGAAGAGAGTCGGTGGGGTAGTTGACGAGCCATGTGGCTTCTTCAAGGTCGAAGGGGAGGATCGGCTCTACGCCGTGAGCCATATAGAAGGGGGAGAAGCCGGTGGAGCGCTGGATAGTGACGCGTTCAGCCCAGAATACATGGTGTGCATACTTGTACCAGTGCGCGACATCATCTCCGGCGCTCTTGACGATGGCTTCGCGCACGTCGAAGTGACGCCGTTCGACGAGATTGGCTCGCGAGTTGTAGGGCGAGATACGGATGCTGTGGATGCCGTACTTCTCGCGAAGCCAAGCGGCGGCGGCGATGAATTGGGGGCCGTTGTCGGTCACGATTTCTTCGACGCCGCCCCAGCGGCACAAGACATCTTCGAACAACCAACGGCCGATCTGTTCAGCGTTTTCGACGCGAAGAGCTCGCCACTCGGGCCACCCGGTGAGTGAGCAGCGGCCATGGACTATGTACTTAAATTTGTTGGCCGGCGGCATGTGCATAGTATCGCAGTATATCTTGCGGAATAGAGGCGCGGGGTACGCGACGGTGGGCGGGATTGTGACGTGGTGCGTACGCCGCTTCTGGCACTCGAGGCAAGTATCGTCGAACCACGAGACGTCGGAGTCAAGATGGGGCCACCAAAAACGGCGCAGGAGGCGGCGGCGCACGACGAACTGGCCTTTGTGACCGAGGGAATCGTGTGCCTGTTGGATGAGGGAGAGACGGCGAAGGGGGTCGAAAATCACAAGTTGATGAGCACCGTCCGCGGCGCGTCGCCAGAGCCGATCATCAAAGAGGAAGAAGTCCGAAGCGTACCGCAGGAATCCCGATAGGTGCTTCGGGTTGATGTCGAGCGGCGTGAGTGGGTTGCGGAGGTACTCGTCGACTTGAGAGACGCGCTTGTCTGCGGCTTGGGCCTTTGCGTCGCGCGGCGGCAGCGTAGTGTCGGAGGGAGTAAGCGGTTCCAGAGAGAAGGCGGAGACGCCAGGAGGAGTATGCATGACAAGGGAGGCGACAGGGGAGCGGCGAGGGCCGGTGTGCGCGGAGAAACCACAGGCATCGTCGATCCAGGATTCCACGCTGTCAGGCGGCTCGGGTTCTTCGTGAGGAGCGGGTGCGCGTCGTGAGAGGCCGTCGGGGGCTTTATGCGAGTCGGCAGGGACATGGACGAGCTCGAAGTCGAAGAGCTTGATGGCCGCTATCCAGCGGTTAATTGTCGCGTTGGGCTGGAGGTCGGGGTTGCTGAGCATGCCCTTGATGCTTGACGCGTCGACTTCGATGACGAGGTGCTTAACGCCGATGATGTGGATGCGGACGTCGCGGAGTGTGCGGAAGAGACCGTATAGCTCGATCTTGGGCTGGCTATACCGTGACTCGTGTTCGCGCCATGGAATAGAACCGAAGCGCGCGGGATAGCGCTTGCCGTCCGTGCCGAGCTGCGAGAGAACGTAACCGACAGCAATAATCGACGAGTCTACTGAGAGAAAAACCGGCCTGTCGGATTCGTAGTCGATGGGACGGAGAGCGCGAGACTCAGCGAATGCACGCTTCAGCGTATCCATCGCGTTTTGCTGCGAGTCGGTCCAGTCGAAAGGCACATTTTTTTGCGTGAGACGGACGAGCGGGCGGGCGATACGTGCGAAGTCTTTGATGAACACCCGCATAACGCCGCAGGTTCCGAGGAAGGATTTGATGTCGGTAACAGAGGTGCACGGCGGCCAATCGAGAATGGTGCGGATGCGGGAGTTGTCAGGGATGCGTCCTTCGTACGAGCAGTGGTGGCCAACGAGCTCGATCTGCGGCGCGCAGAGGGTCAGCTTCTTGCCGGAGAACGTACCGCCGAATGCCCCCATGCGGTGCAGGATGCGGTGCATGGTCTGAAAATGCTCATACACGAAGCGACGAATGCCGGGGTTCTCGGGGAGTGTCTCAAACGTGCCGTCAGCGAGTTCATAGCGCGAGCGGGGGCCCTTTACAGGAACATCGTCGATGTAGGGTGTGGTGTACTCGGGGATCTCGTCTTGAAGGATCCATGTCACATCGCCCTGCATTATTTGCGCCGCGTTGGTATAGCCCATGGGAATGACGGTGAGTCGGAGGGTGCCGAGAGGAGACTGGAACGTTGTGAGATCACGGGAGCGGGCGTCGAGCGAGCGCTGGTCGAAGGCGACGAAAAGATCGAGTATGCCGTAACAGGCGCGGCAGGCAAAGTCTTCGGCCATTTGATCCATATTTGGTGGGACGGCGGCGTCGCGGATGGTCACGCGGTTGAGGGGCTGCAGGTCGTGAACGAGCCGGAGAGACTTGCCGTCCTTCTTCGGCACGCAGAACCAGGCCGATCGGTACGACGAGTTCGAATGTTCGTAAGTTCCGGATGCAATCTTCGCCTTAATTATCTTGATGACTTCGTCGCGAATGCCGGGCGCAATTGGGATGTTCTTGAAGACCCACGGCACATGCTCGACCGTCGGAATGCGGATGGGGTCAAACCATTCGTTGGAGAGGCGGCCCTTCTCAGTCTCATCCCAGGCAAGCGCGCGCTCGTTTTCGCGCAGAATCCAGTGGGCGAGGCGGACTTCCTCGGGCTGCAGGAACCCGTGCGGGTCGATATCTTGTGCGCGCATACGCTCGTCAGTGTATCGCGAGCCGGGTTCGAAAGGCGGGATCGAGGTTGGAAGTGGGCGCATGTCGGCGAGCGGGTCGGAAGGCTTTCTTCGTTCTATGCGGAACTCTTCGGGTGTGATGGTCGAAACCGGGAAGGTGCGTTTGGCGACTTTCTTGTACTTAGCACCAAAAACGGAGGCGGAGGCGGTTGCGAAGTCGGAGTCGGGCGGCAATGGTGAACTGCAGAGATCAAAGTCGAAAACGGTGGCACGCCAGGAAACAGAGAAGTCGGCGGCGTGAACTGGCTGCCAGGTTGATGGGAGCTTGAGGGATTCGGTGGTGAAAAGAGAGGTTGCGTCGCGCGGCTCGCGTCGCACAGGAGTATAAAGGGTCTGAAGCAAATATGTATTCGTGATACGGGACGGTAGTCTATGCGCATCTGCGATGGAGAAGCCAAAATAGTCTGAGTTGGGGCTGTCTATGAGAGGAGGGAATACTTGAGATCTTGAGGGCGGAACGCCTCGTCGGCACAGAACCGATTCATCGACGTTTACGGAAAATCCTGATTGCGAGCCGAATGAGCGGCGACCGGGCGCTCGAGCGTGGGGACACGGATCCGTTCGCCGGTCTCGGGGTTCGTGAGGGTGAGCGTTGAGGAGCCGTCCGTCTTGTCACTTGTGATGCAGGATGTGTGCGCGAGGAACGAGCGCCCGAGGAGGACCTCCCATGGCGCGTGCTCGATAACCTGAACTTGAAGGAAGACTTCCATGCCGCCGATGTTGAAGGGCACATTGCGGAGACCGCCGATCGTGCGTGTGGTGGTTGAGTTTGCAGCCGTGAGCGAGATGGCATCGTCCTCGTAGAGCGGAAGGCCGGTAGCAAGCCAGACATCCCTGCGCATCAATACTGCCTCGGAACCAGAATCAATAACGCACTCAGCGATGACCGCGTTGGCGATAAGCGGACGCAGAATGCGCAGGCGCTGCATGCGGTGGGCCGACAGATGCTGGTGCACGCCGCCGCAGTCGCCGCAGTCGAACTCTAGCGAGGGAGGCGGGCCAGAGGAGAAGAGTGCCGTAGCGCCGGGATCATTGTCCGAGGTCAGGATCTTGCGCGGTGAGATGCGAGAGGCGAGCTCGCAACGGGCTGTGTACGAAGCGCCTAGGATTTGACGGCCGGTGACGTTCGAGAGCGGGGCGTCGAGGATGTCGTCCACGAGCTGGCCGACGACGAAGCCCTCCTCGATAGGCGCAATGTTGCGGGTGCCCGAATGGCCGGCGGGGCGGGGCGTCTTCGGCGGGTAGATGATACGGCCGGTCTGAGGTGGGCGAGGGCCGGGAGCGGGCGTCGCAGCGGGGATCTGGGCCGCAGCAGGAGGCGCAGACGGCGCAGTCTCAGGCGGAGCAGGCCTGCGGAGCAGTGTGGGCGGTGGCGAGGAGTCGCGTTCAGGTGTTGGGTCGCGGATAGGCACGGGTGCTGGGCGGTTGCGGAGGTCATCATTGGCGCGGCCTTCGTGCTGCTCGTCGGCGAAGCGGACGGGTCCTTTGCCCTTGTTCGTACGTGCGGAGACGCGCGTCTTCTCGGCGCTGTCGAGGACCTGGGCGTTGCGACGGCGAAGTTCGGCCTCGAAAGCCGGGATCAGCGGGTCGCCCTCGACGCAGAGCGCTAGGCGCTCGCGGAGGAAGCCGCGGACGGGGTCGCAGTCTTCAAGGTCGTCTTCGATGGCTGCAAAGGAGGAGCTGGGTGCTGGAGCGGGCGACATGGGAGCAGAGATCGTGAAGAAGTTTGACGCGAGATGGGGTGGCTGGTCACGAGGAGTCGACGCCGTCTGGCCCTTGTTGCGGCTATGCCAATCATCAACACGCGCCTGCATCGTGATGCCGGGCGCGGAACGGCTAGACGGAATGTACGCACCGCTGGGTAGAACCAGCTTTCCATCCCCGTTGCGCGTAACCTTGCCCTGCTTGATGTAGTCGAAGACAATCTGGCAGTCGCGGATGAAGTGGGGGCCGCCGCAGAAGAGACAGGCAAGGTCAGACCCGTGTGAGTGCGAAGTCGATTGCGGGCTATTCGACGCAGTGCCGCCGTGAGATCGCGCGCTGGCCGCAGCGCCAAAGGTCGAGATGAACGTCGTGAGAAGAGACTCTACCGAGGACATACGCGCGTCGACGGCGGACTGAACGGCGGATGCGATATCTTCTTGCTTAAGCGTCGCGGGCGGGGCCGAAGTGAAGAGCGTGGTGGGTCCGCGATGGCCGGCAAGAATAGCGTCGGCCTCCTTGAAGACAGTAGCACGCGGATAGGCTAGCTCAAAGTTGTGCGTGGGGAGCGCGGTCTGCATGCATCGGAGGAGACGGTCGCGGAAATCGCCGGTGAACGCGCGGAGGTAAAGGTCGTTTGCGTCGTTGTCGGAGAGAAGCGCGCCGGCGTGCTTCTTTCGAAGGTCGTCCGCAAGGACTTTGAAGCGGCGGTTGTACTCGCCGAGCTCGATGCGCGTCCTGATCGGGGCTGAAGCGCGAGCGGAGACGAGGGCCTCGATGTCGGCGCGCGTTGCTTGACCTTCGAGAGCAGTACCAGGGTAAAGAGCCGTTATCTCGGCCTTGAAGTCGGCATAGGATTTGGTGGCGTCGGTGTAAGAGTCGGTCGAGCGCCAGACGCGCGCTTCGTCGTATGGCAGGTAGCGGATGGCAAGGTCTACCTTTTGACGCTCGTCGGTGACACCGTGCTCGGTGAAGAGGCGCTCGAGTTCTTCGAGATAGCCGGGGAGGTCGAAGGCGGACTTGAAGACGGGGGCGCTGCGGTCGCCGCGTGCGGGCATCGGAGTTGGGACGGCGGCCATCGTCGGACTCGGAGGCGGCGGAGTGAGCGGTAAGAGAGGCAGCGGGGGCGACGACGAGGGGAACGGCGGATAGTTGAACGGCGCGTTTGGGCTGTGGGGATGTGCGCTAGCAGAAGCGGCGTCGGCGAATTCGGAGTCGAGGGATCGACGGTTACGCGTGAAGCGTCCGCGGGAGTCTCGTGGTTGTGATGTAGAGTACACTCGCGAAGAGCGGGGAGGCAGCTTGATTGCTCTGTGACCCTCGCGGTGGGCTCCAGTTGTAGTGCGAAGGTAGGGCTAGGCCTATCAAATGCAAGATAGATGCGAGGGCCGAGGCAAGATCAGAGGCTGCCGAGGCGGTAGGTAAAAGGATGTAGTATGGACGTGATATAGGAACGACAAGGCGGGTTCGGGATCGCTTCGAGAGAGCTACTGAGTTGCGAGCGGGGTGGGTATGCGTCGAGACTACTGGCTAAGATCGGACGATATCGAATGTTACAGTAATTCCCTTCCTTTCGAGACTACGTACTTTGGGCCTCTTATACCCTCCAGTCCTTCCGCTCCCGTCCAATCCTCGTCCTCCGATCGTTTGGCGGATGCCGGTCCTGAGGACGCGCCAATGCGCGCACGCCTCGTAAGCCGTCGAATAGTCACAGAAGGGCGCAGAACGTCGTCGGGGTGGTGATGCTGGCCGCCGGTTGTCCGATACTGCAGTGATCGAGCCGGGATCGCGTTTTGCTTGATGTCCGAGCCCAAGCCGGGCTGGCGGCGAGGGGGTTCCGCGTGCGCTGGCCGTGCCTTGTCGTTGTGGGCGGATGGTAT